TGTTTACTGGCCTTTAAAAATAAATTATATATTGTTGAGTGTGGGGTTGGGGGAACATGTTTCAAATGTTTTGTACTGTATCGTGCTATTTGGAAAAGAATTCAGTATCTCTGCAGTTGTTATCTCTAAATGTTGAGATCATGGGTAATTTGTTTTGGGTGAACATATTTTTCTAATCATAATTATTAACGTTTTTTGTGTAATAGAATTTTTTGTAAAGAGAAATTTATTGTACTGTAAAGACAACCTCTACTGGTCATGATCATTTTTCTTCTTATGTTGGTTTACTTTATTAATTATACAAGATACATATATATATTCTACTTAAAAGTGCAAGCAAACAGATGTATATAGAACAATCGTAACTCCTTTCTTGAACCCCAGTTTGATTTACCTCCACAAATATAACCATCATTAACAATTTGGTCTATATGTCTATATGTCAAGATTTTTTTAGTTGTTCACATATATGTACGTACACATAGTTTTGTTTTATGTGAATTGGACTGTATTGTATATATAGCTCTATAATTTGTTTTCTGTAAATAACAGAATGTCAGATAAATTTCTATATCAGAATGTATAGACTTATTTCACTATCTAGTATTTGATGGTGTAGCATTCCATGTGTGGACATGCAGTGCTTTTATAGTGCTCTATTAGGTAGATATACTCTACAGTCTTGAGGAAGGAGCAGGATGCCATCTTTGGTGTTTTGCAAACTTCAGTGGTGATACCTCCATGTGCAGGAGGGACTGAGGTGATTAGAGTCTGGAGTGGACCCTGGCAAATAGCAGCAGCCCTATGGAAGAGTGTCCTGACTGCTTAAAAAACAGAAAGCAACAATCACATCAACAAAAAAAGACCCCACAAAAGCCCATTTAAAGGTTGGCAGCCTCAAAGATCAAAGGTAGATAAGCCCACAAAGATGAGAAAGAATCAACACAGAAACACTGAAAAATCAAAAAGCCAGAGCGTCTCTTCTCCAATGGCCACAACACCTCTCCAGCAAGGGTATAGAACTAGGCTGAAGCTGAGAGGGATGAATTGATAGAAGTAGGCTCACCTTCTGCAAAAATTAACTCAACATAGATTAAAGACTTAAATGTAAAATCCAAAACCATAAAAACCCTAGAAGAAAATCTAGGCAATACCATTCAGGACATAGGCATGGGCAAAGATTTTATGATGAAAATGCCAAAGGCAATAGCAACAAAAGCAAAAATTGACAAATGAGATCTAGTTTTAAAGAGCTTCTGCACAGCAAAAGAAATTATCAACCTACAGAATGGAAGAAAATTTTTTCAATCTATCCATCTGACAAAGGTCTAGTATTCAGAGTCCACAAGGAACTTAAACAAATTTACAAGAAAAAGCAAGCAAGCCCATTAAAACTTTGTCAAAGGACATGAACAGACAAGAGTGGATTGTGATGGGGCAGGAGAGGAAGAACGAGCAAATGCCTTTGCATATACATTTTTGTATGTGTGTATATTTCTGTAATCCATATTCCTAGAAGGTGAATTTTCTTGTCAAAAGGTAAGCACATTTTACTTGTATCCAAACAGATCATATGTATCCAAACAGATTAAGTATCACCTCCCTGAAGAGCCTTCCATGACCCTGCCATCCAAGTTTGCATATCTGTTCTTTACTTTGAGGCACTCTATTTTCTTCCTAGAATGGATAATAATGTGTAAGATTTTGTGTTTATTTACTTTTATATTGTCTATCTTTTTGGTGGAGGCATGGCCTTGTCTTAGTCCCCATTATACTCATGACATAGTAGGCACTAAATGAAGATCTGGGCCAGGTGTGGTGGCTCACACCTGTAATCTCAGCGCTTTTGAAGGTTGGTTAGGAAAGACTACCCAAGTTTGAGGCTAGTTGGAGACCAGCTTGGGTGACATCGTGAGACCCTACCTCTATGAAAAATTTAAAAATTAGCCCTGTGTTGTGGTATGCACCTATAGTCTCAGCTACTCAGGAACTGAAGTGGGAGGACCACTTGAGCCCAGAAGTTGGAAGCTTCAATGAGCTCCCTCCACTCCATGATGGTGCCACTGCACTCAAGCCTGGGTAACAAAGTGAGAACCTATCTCAAAAAAAAAAGAGATGTTGAATAGATAATTTCTGGTATAGTTAGTATATTTGTCCACACACAGGAAAAAAAAAAAAAAGGCCGGGCACAGTGGCTCATGCCTGTAATCCCAGCACTGTGGGAGGCCAAGGCAGGAGGATCACCTGAGGTCAGGAGTTCGAGATCAGCCTGGCCAATATGCTGAAACCTCATCTCTACTAAAAATATAAAAATTAGTCAAGCATAATGGTGCATGTCTGTAATCCCAGCTACTTGGGAGGCTGAGACAGGAGAATGGCTTGAACCCAGGATGGGGAGGTTCCAGTGAGCCAAGATTGCACCACTTGGCTGTGCCACTGCACTCCAGCCTGGGCAACAGAGCAAGACTTCCTCTGAAAAAAAGGGGGAAGGAAAACAGGTCACAAGCTACATCAGAATGACATTTTTAACAGGAACCCTGGAAGCTAGAAAATTATAGAGAAATGCCAGCTGGGTACAGTGGCTCATGCCTGTAATCCCAGGACTTTGGGATGCTGAGGTGGGTGGATCACCTGAGGTCAGCCTGGCCAACATGGTGAAAACCCATCTCTACTGAAAATACAAAAAATCCGGGCATGGTGGCGGGTGCCTGTAATCCCAGTTACTTGGGAGGTTGAGGCAGGAGAATCACTTGAACCCAGAAGGCAGAGGTTGTAGTGAGCCAAGATAGGAGATCATGCCATTGCACTCCAGCCTGGGCAACCAGAGTGAAACTCTGTCTCAAAAAAAAAAAAAAAAAAAAAAAAAAAGAAAAAGAAATTATAGAGAAGTTCCTTCAAATTTCTCTGGAAAAATTATTTCAAACCTAGAGTTCTTTTTTAAATTTATTTTGTTTTTCTGTTATTTATACACTGCCAACATCTGTATTTAACCTAGAGTTCTATAACCAGCCAAGCTATCAATCATGTTTAAGAGTGGAACAGTTTTACATATGAAAAGTTGAAAAATTTACTTCAATGTGTCCTTTCTTGGGAAGTTGCTGGAGGAATAAATTCATGAAATGAGGATAGAAACTAAGAGAAAGAAAGATCTGGGATCCAGGAAATAGGAGATGATACAGAAAAGAGAAGTAAAGGGAGCTCCTAGGATAACTGGAAAGTCCTGGGGCTGGGCATGGTAGCTCATGCCTGGAATCCCAGCAATTTGGGAGGCCAAGGTGGGCACATTATTTAAGGTCAGGAGTTCGAGATCAGCCTGACCAACACGGTGAAACCCTGTCTCTACTAAAAATAACAACAACAAAAAAATTAGCCAGGTGTGATGGTACACACCTGTAGTCCCAGCTACTTGGGAGGCAGGAGAATCACTTGAACTGGGGAGGCAGAGGTTGCAGTGAGCTGAGATCGCATCACTGCACTCCAGCCTAGGTAACAGGGTGACAGAGGGAGACTCTGCCAAAAAAACAAAAAGTCCCAAGATGAAATTGGGCACAAGCACAAGTAGCTGACTGAAGAAGGTGAACAGCTTCCTCTCCAGTTGAATGTGTCGCCATGTTGAAAAGAAGGAAATGGAGGGAAAAAGAGGAGGGAAAGAAATTACAAGTAAATAAAGAAATGAATGAGGATGTAGCTTTATATGTTAGTTCTACTGCCTTTGTGTTTTATACATCACCAATATCTGATTTTATCTTTATTATTTTGTTTCGTTATACATGAATGTTTTTACTAGTTTTTTGAGTTGAGAATTTAATTCATTTTTAAAATTTTCTCCTATTTTAATGGAAATTCTATGGAGTCTGAATTCTGATTCCCTTCATGCCCCTGCCAGACTAGCAAGAGGTCTTGCTGGCCCCAGGTTCTAGGCATGCAGAAATGAGAGGCAAAAACTGCCAGGCAAATCAGCAGTTGCAGTGAAAGGCAGGGCTCTGGGAAGCTGGAGTTGAAGGTTAGTGGCAGCTAGGTGGAGACAGAACACTTGTGAGGCCATAGTTGGCTTTTGATATGGCTTGAAGCCTGGTCTAATAGTTTTACCAAACTAAGATGGTGAGGTCAGCGTCCCACTCACTCTTTTCTGTCTCTCTCTCTGCACCCCACTCTCACCAAGCCCAAGCAGCAGGCTGAAGAAGCCAGTCAAGAAACCTCTGCAGGTGCCACAGAGGAAATGAGACCATGAAAAGAAAGTGAAGGGCCACCATGCCCAACCAAGGGAGAGGAAAGGATAAAGTAGACCGTACCAGGGCAAGAGAGCAGATAGCACTGCAGAGGGCACAAGGCCCTGGACTCAGCTTTTGGAGAGTGACAGGGTGTATGTGTGTGTTCATGCCCATGTGTCTGTGCACTCCTCTCTCTTATTTTATTTTAGATGGAGTCTCTCTGTCTCTCCCAGGATGGAGTGCAGTGGCATGATCTCAGTTCACTGCAATCTCTGCCTCCTGGGTTCAAGCAATTCTCCTGCCTCAGCCTTCAGAGTAGCTGGGACTACAATTGCGTGCCACCACACCCAGCTAATTTTTTCTATTTTTAGTAGAGATGGGGTTTCACTGTGTTAGCCAGGATGGTCTTGATCTGACCTCATGATCCACCTGCCTTGGTTTCTCAAAGTGTTGGGATTATAGCATGAGCCACCATGCCGGGCCTCCTCCCTCTTACTAGGAGTATGAGTTGCCTCAGAGGCTAAGCACGGAGCTGTGGGATCATGGGAACTAAAACTTCTGTGTACTTCAAAAGGCTTTTTATTATAAGCAAACATATGCATTTTAATAAATTATCTCTGAAAATAACTTTCTAAATATGTCTTTGAAAAACAAACCTCTGTTTTGAATGAACACTTCCATTATCACTTTCTCTTTCAATAACACCTTTTGTAGATTATAAGAATAGTCTTTCTTCTCAGTACAAATAGTATAATATTAAGTAAATGAGTTTTTTCTTGAAATTATTCCTCACATAACAATCCTAGAGTTTCTTGTATGTATTTGCTTATGTTTAGTAAGAGCTGAGGTTAAGCTGAAGGATTTCCCACATTCATTACACTGGTAGGGGTTCTCTCCTGTATGCATCCTCTGATGTCGAATTAGTGAGGTTCTATAGCAAAACAGTTTCTGACATTTATTACATTGATAGGGTTTCATACCAGAATGAATATTTAGATGCTCATTAAGGAGTGTACTTTGACTGAGGGTTTTTCCATATTCTTTACAACCATAAGGCTTCTCTCCGTTATGAGTTCTCTGGTGTTCAGCCAGGTGTGCACTCTGATTGAAGGGCTTTCCACATGCATTACACTCATAGGGTTTTTCCTCCAGTATGAATTCTTTGATGTTGAATGAAGGCTGGGGTAGGCTCAATGCTTTCCCACATTCATTGCATTGATATGGTTTCTCTCCTGTGTGGGTTCTCTGATGTGGGATTAGTGATGTACTGTGACAAAAAAACTTTCCAACATTCTTTACACTGGTAGAATTTTTTCCCCAGAATGAATTCCCTGATGTTCAATTAGGTGGATGCTGTGGCTGAAGGTTTTTCCACATTCAATACATTCATGTGGTTTCTTCCCAGTATGAATTCTATGATGTTGAGTAAGGGCAGAGATATGACTGAAGGCCTTCCCACCTTCATTACAAGGATAGGGTTTTTCTCCAGTATGGATTCTCTCATGATTTCTAAGGAATGACCTATGACTAAAGGCTTTTTCACATTCATTACACTCATAAGGTTTCTCCCCAGTATGGACTCTTTGATGCTGAATAAGATTAGTGATCTGACTAAAAGCTTTCCCACATTCATTGCTTTCATAAGGTTTCTCTCCAGTATGTATTCTTTGATATTGGATAAGATTAGTGTTCTGGGTGAAGGATTTATCACCTATTTTATATTCATAAGATTTCTCTCCAACATGTGTTTTCTGATGCTGGATCAGGGATGCAATACAAGTGTAGCCTTTCCCACATTCAGTATAGAGGTATGGTTTCACTCTCATACAAATTTTCTCAGATTCCATCAGTACTGGACTAGGTCTTTACATTTATTTATTTTTAAATTTTTGTGGGTATGTAAAGATGTTGGCTTTACATTTATTTCCAGAATAAGTAAAGTTTGAGATACTAATGCAATCTTTCTTATATCTGATAAATTATTTTTCAATTGTGAGTTGCCTTTTGAAAAAATCAACTACAGCAGAATTATGCTTCAAATTCCTACCACTGATGTCATGGTTACAGTAGTCCTGCCATATCCACAGTTCCACTTTCCATGATTTCAGTTATCCATGGGCAACTGTGGTCAAAAATTATTATATGGAAAATTCTAGAAATAATTTCTAACTTTTAAATGGTGTGATTTTCTGAGTACTGTGATGAAATCTTGTGTGATCTGCTCTATCCTGCCTGGGATGTGAATCATCTCTTTGTCCAGTGTATCCACTCTATATATACCACCCACCCACTGGTCACAATAGCTCGTACTAACAACCTGGTAAGGGTTTGGTACATCAGTGATTTCAGGTATCCTCTGAGTAGCCTCAGAGTGTACACCCCATGAATAAGTGGAGACTACTGTCTGAGGTCTTTTTTTAATAAAAACTCTCAGTTGTTTAAAAAGCTTTGGTCTTTGATTAAATGTTTCCCTTGTTATATTCATGATCTTCCTTTTGAATTGCTTTTTCTTGTAATCTGGTGATACTGGTGTTTCTCAAACTGGTCTTCAAATTCCAGTTCTTCTAATGTGCACGATTAGGAACCATCATTTGAAAAATATTCTAACATCATATGATGGCATTATTTGGTTTTCAGAAATTTTCTGCTTTGGAATGGATGCTCTGACTTTGGATATAGTATCCAGGATTAAGTAGAAGATATTATCTCCTTCCT